GGAAAGAAGGGAAAGAAGGGAAAGAAGGGAAAGAAGGGAAAGAAGGGAAAGGGGAAAGGAGAAAAGGGAAACAGGAAATGAAAAACAGAAAGGCAGAAAGGGAAAGGAGGAGAGAAAAGGAGGAAAATGGAAAGGGGAAAGGGGAAAAGGGAAAGAGAAAGGGGGAAGGGAAAGAGGAAACGGGGAAGAGGATAATGAAGAAAGGAAGGAGGAAATAGGAAAGGGAAAGTGAGAAAGGGTGTGGGGAAAGGAGAAAAGGGAATGGGGGAAGGGGAAAAGGGGATAGGGAAAGGAAAGGGGAAAAGGAAAATGGGAAAGGGGAAAAGGGAAAGAGGAAAAGAGGATTGGAGAAGGGGAAATGGGAAAGAAGAAGAAGGAAAGGGAAAAAAGGGGGAAGGAAAGGGGGAAGGGATAAGGGAAAATGGGAAAGGGGGAAGGGAAAAGGGGAAGGGAAAAGGGAAAGGGAAAGGGGAAGAGGAAAAGGGAAAAGGAAAAGGGGAAGAAAGGAAAGGGGAAAAAGAAAGGGGAAATGGAAAAAGAAAAGTGCAAAAGGGAAGAAGGGGAAGGAGAAAAGGGAAAGGGGAAAAGGAGAAAAAAAAAGAAACAAAAAAGAAAATGGGGAAATGGGAAAGGGAAAGGGGAAAGGGGAAAGGGGAAAAGCAGTCTCTGGGCTTGGGCCAGGCTGGCTTTGTGCACGTAACATGAGGGCAAGTGTGACGCCAGACCAGCAGGCATGGCTTGGCTCAGGGCACTGCAAGGGTACCCTGCCAGCCCTACCTCCACCCCAGCACCAGCTGGTGAAACACAGGGAGCAGGCTGGGGGTGTGGACACTGCGGCCCTAAGCTGCTCCTGGCCACTGCAGGCAGAGAGGAAGGATGCTCTGAAGCACTCTGATGTCCCAAGCAAACCTGGTGAGACACAGAGATGGCTGCACCTTTTCCATGGATGGAGAAACACCATTTTTATACTATTCCCACCTCATCTTTTCATTCAGCCACAGCATGTCAGCAGGTGACTTCCTCACCTACGTTTGCTTGCAGTCAGAGACCCCAGATCGGGCACCCAGATGCCATAAAGCAAGAGGATAACTCACCCCTGAGGGAGGATGCACCATCCAGCCCAGCTCTGCCGTGGCTGTTGTGGAGTCCATCAGTGTCTCTGCAGGAGGAAAGAGAAACAAGGAGTCAGTCCATCACCTTCCAGTTACATTTGCAAAAGTGGGACACTTTTTCTCTGCCTTCTGCATGGTAGGCAGTATCCTTGGCCATGCAGCAGCAGATAGGAAGGAAAAGCACTTCAAGGACTTGCCATACTTAAAAATTAAACCAACATTAAAGCCAATTTTCCAGGCAATTTGGGCAGAAATAGGTCAGATGCTGCTATTGCTAATCAGCACTGAAGGCGGCAGAGGATGGCTTAGGAAGGTCACACTGCATGCACAAGCAAGACACAAACATGAAATCCATCTTGCAGCTTCAATTTCCCTGCCCTCCCAATTACTACAGCACAAGCAAGGATAGAGTCCCTTTTTACGGCTCTGCAGCTCTCAAGAAAAAGCACCATATGTACAGGGTGTACACCCACCTTCAGCTTGCTCACCAGGAGAGCACCCATATAGTCAAGATGTCCAGTCATCAGCCTACAGATCCAACAGACAGCTCTGATACAGTCAAGATCTCCAATCACCAGCCCACAGATCCAATAAACAGCCACAGTACAGTCAAGGCCTCCAGCCATCAGCCCACAGGCTCAACAGGCAGGCCCAATACAGTCAAGATTTCCAATCATCAGCCTACAGACAGCCCTGATATAGTCAAGGCCTCCAGACATCAGCCTACAGGCCCAAAAGACAACCCTGATACAGTCAAGATTTCCAGTCATCAGCCAACAGAACCACAGACAGCCCTGATGTAGTCAAGATCTCCAACCACCAGCCTACAGACCCAACAGGGAGCCCCAATGCAGCCAAGACAATCACCAAACAGATCCAGCAAACAGACCCACTACAGTCAAGATCTCCCACCACCAGCCTACAGACTCAACATGACAGCCCCAATATAGACAAGATTCTCCCACCACCAGCCCACAGACCCAAAGAACAGCCCCAGTATAGTCAAGATCTCCAACCACCAGCCTACAGACCCAACACAGTGCCACTTCCCATGGCCGGAGCAGAGACGCAGAGCTCCTGGCTATAATTGTGTCCTGCTCCTGACCACTAAAAACCCAAACACCCTGCCACAAATTCCCAAAAAGCATCTCCACCTTCTCCGTTTTCACTGCTTTGAACAAAAATGAAAGAAAAAAAGATCAGCACTGTGCAGATCCATTGCTGAAAGAGATAAGGCTAGATGCAGAGATGGCAAAATGACTTTTATTCAGTCCATGTAAACTCCCTTTTCCCATTAGTAAGCCAAAAAGTGCCTCGGCATAGATATGCTCCTTGCACCTACTTCTGGCAGTAAATCATTTTCAGACTGTGGGTTGTTACTCACTCCTGCTTAGAGCCAGCGGTTTCCAGTTCACAGGAAACCAGCATTTCAAAATTTGGTTTTATTCCAAAAGTAAAAAGCAAAAATAGTTCTTTTCAAATTTTTTCCCACTACGAAGAGTTCTGGAAAACAGCTCGTCCAAAAATGTTGTCATTCAGATTTATGAAATTTCTTTTTAAACGGAGCCTTTGTTTACATAGCTTAATAACAGTGTTTATTTTATCAAAGTATCCAGCTTTTTCATTAAAACACCAGTGGCACTTTGATCTAGAAGGAGAACAACATTCTTCACCCAGTGTTAGCTAGGAGCTGCACTACTTAAAAAAACCAATGCTAAATATGTTGATTTATCCTAACTATTGATGACACTGACTGTCATGCAAAAGAAGATGCACTCTAAAATACCGTAATTCCCCAAAGAAAAACAATTTTTGAAGCATTTTGCATTTTGTTCCAGGAAAACATGGCGCAATGGGCATGTGCCCAGCTCAGTGCTGAAGCACACTTTGCCCATGGCCCCTTATCCTCTGCTGAAGAGTTGCACGTGGCCTTAAGATGTTGTAGGGGAGAATCACGTTGGGTATGAGGAACAATTTCTTGTGTTGGCACAGCTGCACAGGAGGTGGTGGGTCACCATCCCTGGAGGCGTTCAGCGTGCAGATGTGGCACTGAGGGCTGTGGGCACGGTGGGATGGGTTGGGGTTGGACTGGATGGACTTGAACATTGTCTCCAACCTTAATGATTCTATGACTCTGTCCATTGGAGCAACACATCTGCCCTAGCTGGCTCAAGGACATCCCATTTTGACACAGTAACAAGGAGCAGAAAACCGCAGGTTTCGAGCAGATTTTTCTAAAGGTCAATTATCTTCTCATAAAAATATATATCTTCTCCTACTTTAAAACTGAATTTATGCTGCTCAGCTGCCAGTTATTAGATTTCCTTTTACTTTCAGACCCTTCTTTTCCTCTTGTGCTGCTCAAGGGTGGCAAATGAATCACCTCCCAGCCTTCCCCAAGGTAACCAGAGTAACTGAGAGTCTTTCATCCTACAACAGGTCCCCTTCTCTGGGGCTCCTGTTTATCTTTCTTTGCGTAGGGTGCATCCCAAGACTGCATCCCCACAGCACACAGCTGTAACATCCCTTTGTGTGACTTTTTGCACATCTTTTCTAGCAAATTGCTATCCTGGCCAAAGTCCAGAAAGCATGTGGAGATCAGTTGACATGTTAGCATTTGGCAGTAGTAGCCTGAATTCCATAAAATCGCGAATAACCGATCTCCACGAATCAGAGCAAACCTCATTAGCAGCACTGTCTGTGAATGTGCACGTGAAGCCAGGTTGGATTTCAAGGGTGGGGGTGCATTTGCTCCTTCAATGATGCTTGACCTCAAAGCACACTGCAGTGCCTTACTGCCTAAATAATCACAGAATCACACATTGGTTTGGGATGGAAGGGACCCTAAAGCCCACCCAGTCCCAACCCCTGCTGTGGGCTGGCTGCTCCCCACTGGGTCAGGCTGCCCAAAGCTCCATCCAACCTGGCCTTGGGCATCTGCAGGGATGGGGCAACCCCAAAAATAATGGTATATGCCACAGAGCTACCTTGCGTGTGTACCTGGACGAAAGCATCTCACACTCTCCACATCTCGTCCTTGTGAAGTTGCTTTTTGCTATACAAAGGGAGCACACACTTCAGCAAATAAAACCAGGTGAGATTTCCAACGAACCACTGTATTTCTCATCTGCAGAATCTTCCCTCTGCCTCTCTCCCCACACTCTGATCAGTTCAGACCTCCACAGCTGAAGGCAGGAGCTCTGGGTCCCAAGGCATCAGCTGTACATGAGGTGAATCACCAACACGAGCCGTGACAAGCCCCCAAAACCACGGAGGAGAGAAACTCCCTGCTTCAAACAGCAAATCTGGCAGCTTTGCTCACTGTCACAGCTGACTCCTTCACGGTGCCATCCTCCAGTTTTGGCAGCAGACGTGGGACCCCTTCACCCTGCACAGAGCATCAACCCTTTGGTGATGGTGACGATGCACTGCTAAGCCCCCAGGGGTGGCAGGGGTGGCTGCCTACGGTCGCAGCTCAGTGAAATGCTCCTGCCAGAGCAGCGTTTTCTCAATATCTTTGTTTGTGTTATTCCCTCCCGTGTGTTTATCCGCGGATTCACATGCTACCCACAGCACTCTAAATAAATCTACAGCTGCTCGAAACTAGCAGACGCAACTCTGGCCTGCCTCCCACCAGAAACCGCACTGCTCCCCACGGGATGGTTAGGAGATAAGTGCCTGTCCTTTTCACTTTGAAGATGCTTTCAATAAGCAGCTCTCTGCCAGTGCTGGGGCCGCTGCCGGCACGGCCAGGGGAGGCACTGCTGCTATGAGAGCATCCCAGGGTCTGCAGCCTCTGCCACACTCTGGGATCCAGCTTGAGCACTTTGCATGCAGAGATGCATCACTGTCACCACGCCGTGGCCTCTGGGATGCTCATGGTTATGCTCAGACACCAGTGGGCTGATGGTGTGCAGTGGCACTGACCTGAGAGAGGCTCCTGCACTTCTGGATGCCTTTCCTGCTGCTCAGCCATGAGTGAAGTGAGCGTGGGGGTCTCAACTGCAATGGCTTGGAGAAGGGAAGGCTGCAGGGAGACCTCATTGTGGCCTTCGAAAACTTGAAGGGAGCAAACAAACAGGAGGGGAAATGGCTATTTATGAGGGTGGATGGTGATAGGACAAGGGGGAGTGGTTTTAAAGTGAGACAGGGGAGGTTTAGGTTGGATATTAGGAGGAATTTTTTCACCCAGAGGGTGGTGAGGCACTGGAACAGGTTGCCCAAGGAGGCTGTGGATGCCCCATCCCTGCAGGCATTCAGGGCCAGGCTGGATGTGGCTCTGGGCAGCCTGGGCTGCTGGTTGGTGACCTGCACACAGCAGGGGGGTTGGAACCAGATGAGCACTGTGCTTCTTTTCAACCCAGGCCATTCTGTGATTCTATGACTTTTCCCACCTGAGACCTGTGAGCAGAGGACAAAGTGCTGGCTGTGACCAGAGAGAGGAGACTGGAGAGTGACAGGAGCAAGGGATAGTGGCAGAGAGGCTGGAAGGGATTAACAGAGGATCTGTGCACACTGCAGACACACTTCTCTGTGTCCGGAAAAACAACGTCCATGGAGTTTTGCCAATTTCGACCAATTTAGACCATCTGGACCTGAGTTTCTCAGAAGTCCTGGTAAATCCTTTGCATCTGCAGGCTCCAAACTCGTTGCAGATAAAGAAACAGCTGGACAAATAAATAGCCCCACAGATAGCAGAAGCCTCCACCCTCATTTTTCCACCCACAACTTTTTCCTTTCCCCTCGCACTTCTCACATCAGTCCCTCCCTCCGAGCAGGAAAGCTGCCAGCTCCTGAAAACACAGGGTGCAAAACTTCGAGGTTGTCCTGGGATCCTATTAGCCATTTTCAAGGCCAGGCTGGATGTGGCTCTGGGCAGCCTGGTCTGGTGTCCCTGAATATAGCAGGGGGGTTGAAATGAGATCATCATTGTGGTCCTTTTCAACCCAGGCCATTCTGCGATTCTGTATTCAGTGTTGGACACACAAAGTCAACAAGCTGCCCGAGTATCAACGATGGAGCAAAATCCCAAATCGAGACACACACA